CGTGTTTCATTCTATGGTGCATAGCGTTACTCTGAGTCAGAGCCAACTCCTTGGCATCTAACAACAACAACATGTTTGGCTGTGAGTAAGGACCATAATCTCTATTACACCAGAAAGCCTAGTCTTTGTTGTTATTGTTAATATTTTGACTTTTGTTCCAGTTCTTTCACTCCATCCAAAACCTTCTATTGTAATTGCTTTCAGAGTACTTGGTAGTGGTAACCAGGCACCATCTTGTTCTTCCCATCTCTGGCTGTGATTTGAATGGCCCTAAATGTGGAGCTGTAGGATAAGCACTGGACTGATAATTACAAGGCTGGCAGTTCAAATCCACAAACCCTGTTCCTCTGAAACCCTATGTGGGGTTGCTAAGAGTTAGAACCAGCTCTAAGGAACTTAGCAACAACAATCTTTTGGACTAATTGTTTCCATGCATCTTTGATTTTCTTCATTCTTCTTTGCTCCAGAAAGAAGAGCAACCGGGAGAGACTACTAGTTGCACCTTGATGGTGGTGGTGGTTATGTGCTGTGGAGCCAGTTCCCACTCATAGCGACCCTGTACAGGGTTTCTGAGGCTGTAAATCTTTATGGAAGCAGAAAGCCTCATCTATTCTCCCGTGCAACAACTAGTAGTTTCAAACTGCTGACCCTGAGGTTAGCAGCCCGATTTGTAACCACTACGCTACCACAACTTCTTTAGTTGCACCTTAGATAGCCGCTTATGAGCTTTAAAAAACCTGCTGCTGCTCACCAAAGTAGGATGTAGAACATTGTCTTTGTGGACTCTATTATACCAATTGACCTTGATGTTCCCTGGGACCCTGGGTCTTGAGTCCCAGGCCCAGCCACTCAAGTAGTGGGGTTCTTCACAACCATCCAGCGTAGGGGAAGAAACTTGTGTGGAGCAACGACTGCACAGCTGCCACCCACTGTGCTCTCCTAAGGCTGGCGCTGCCCCGAGCACACGCTGAGGTCACTTTTGTGGTCCGCTTCCCTTCTAGAGCGATCGGAGCACTTTTGTGGTCCGCTTCCCTTCTAGAGTGATCGGAGCGGTGCCTCTCTCATCCTGCTTTCAGAGAACTGAGACGAATGAGCGAGCGCCGAGACGAATGAGCGAGCGCGGAGCATGGTCTCGCTGTCCTGCTGCCGCCCTCCTGTGGCCGCTGTGAGGCGACCTCCCGGCCGTGCTGGGAGGGGGGCGGCCCACTCCTCTGCTGGTGACATCACCGCATTCCCGTCCTCGGCTCCTCCCGCAGCGGCGCCTGCAGCCGCAGTGACAGGCGAGCCGGGCCCGGTGGCGGAGAGGAAGTGCGGCGGCCGCGCAGAGCCCGTCCCTGCCGAGGCCGGCTGCCCCGGGCGGCTCAGGAGGCAGTGTCGCCGCCGCCGGCGCACGCCGGGCACGAGCCAGGCCGAGTCCAGCGCCAGGCGGAGGCTGCAGCGGAATCGCGGGGAAAATGGCTGATGACTTTGGCTTCTTCTCGTCATCGGAGAGCGGGGCCCCAGAGACGGCTGAGGAGGACCCTGCGGCCGCCTTTCTGGCCCAGCAGGAGAGCGAGATCGCGGGCATAGAGAATGACGAGGGCTTTGGGGCACCTGCTGGCGTCCAGGCGGTCCCTGCGCAGCTGGGACCTGTGAGTGGCGGTGAGTCAGCTTGGGGCCTTGGGGCTCAGGGTTGGGACTCACCCCCGGGTTCTCCGGCCACCGGCCAGGGGGCTGCCTCTGGTGCCGCTGGCCGGCCAGGAGCATGCGGGCCGGAGGTGGGTGGGGAGGATGATGTCCTGTGAATGTGGAACCAGGGTTGAATGAGGGGTGGGAGGAGGACCAGGAAGGCTCTTCTCTGAGGATCTCGAAGCTGAGGGCTGAGCTGAGCCCCGCCTGAACTGAGGATCTAGTGACTCTTGGGACAAGAATTCGGTCATGACATTTCATCCCCAGGCCAGTTCCACACTGCTCTGGAATCTAACACCAGCCCAGTCCGGGGAGTTCCTCCTGAACATGGGGCAACCTGGGCCAGACGCGAAGCTGAGCTGGACAGGTGTGCCGCAGGATGTAGAACTTTCCACTCCTCAGGTCTAACATTTGGAAACTGAGAAAGCAGGGAAAACGGGGTGCTGTGTGAATTCACAAATCTTCTTTGGTGGTCTGCTGCTATCCTGTAGCCACCGGGCTAAGCACTTTGCTTTCATTTAATTATTTCATGTGCTTACTTATACCCATTTCAGATATGGAAAAACTGAGGCTCAAAGAGGTACAATGTAAAGAGCCCTGGTAATGAGTAGTGCGTTTTGAGTTGGCCTGCTAACTGCAACTCACTAGTTCAAATCTGACAGTTGCTCCTGGGAAGAAAGATGAAGCTTTCTGCTCCCTCGTAAATTTACAGCCTTGGAAAGCCTATACAAGGTAGGGATGAGTCTGGACCAATTCAGTGGTACACCACTATCGCCACCAACACGAAAGAGGTGCAATGGCAGATCCAGGATTTAACTCTAAGCCCTCTCCACCAGACCAATTGGTCTTTCTATGTGTTTGGCTCTGGGTTAGACACTCACTGGGGGCAGGGGCACAGGCACAAAGAGGCATCTGTCAGATCTAGTCCTACCCACCCAGGGGTTTGTCTAACTCACTGATTTTTCAAAGGTGGTCAGGGCTAGTATAGTTGACTTCAGACCTCTGGGTTCAGGGCCTGGTGGTTCCTGTGAAAGCATGTTTATCAGTGATGCTTCTGCTCTGGTTCTGGCTTGAAGGAACAATTTCTTAAAATATCTGGAAAAAAAACCTATCACCTTAATGGGCGCATCAAAAACAGCTCTTATTTCCTGTGTATTTTATCACTGTAATTTTGTGGGTTTGTTGGAGTAAGTGGTGCTTCACAGTAAAAAAAAAAAAAAAAAAGTTTACAAGGCTTTTTATAGTCATGTTTATATTCATTCAACTGTTTGAGGACCTACTGTTTGCCAGGTCCATTGGAGATACAGACAAAAATAAAACTGTTCCTGTGACTGATGAGTTTGAAGCATCTCTGTATGCTCTTAAAACCGGAGGCCCGGAGATCATTGGAAGATGGTTGGAAGACCCATAACAAGGCAGCCACAATGGGTTCAAACATAACAACAATTTTGAGGACAGCACAGGACTGGGCAGTGTTTTGTTCTGTTGTGCATAGAGTCGCTATGAGTCAGTACCAATTCGAAGGTAGCTAAAAACAACAACAGAGAACTCAAGTATCTTGCCCAAAGTCACACAGCCAGTAAGTGACAGATCTGGAACTTGATGATCGGCCTCCCAACTCTGAGCTTTATGCTCTTTCGATTGCTGTGGAATTCTCTTTGAGAGGTGATGGAATAGGGAGAGAGACATCTTTTGCTACCCAAACAAGCCAGCCAATGGAGGTCTTCCCAAGCAGCAGTCCCCCTACCTGTCCAAAGAAATCAATAGGAAATGCCCAACTGCATTCACACACCAGTATTCATTTGTTCATAGTGTCTCCTTGAGAGTACCCCTTGTCCCAGCCTAGCTTGGGGAAGGCTTTGCTGGGGAGGAGCTGATGTTAGAACTCCATAAGAGAAGGACAAATTCAGCACAGGCTGAAGGCAGTCAGAAGCACCTGCAAGTTGAGCAAGTATGGCCTCTCCTAGAACAATGGGGCTCCAGGGACTGACAGCCTGGGTGGGAGCTTCCTTCTCTGGCTAGGGTGGGGCACGGATTATATTCAGACTCAGGATGGCAGGGAGAGAAGCAATGGCCTGCTCCTTTATTTCTGGAAGCGGCCAGGGACATGTCCTCTGAGGATGAATATCTCCCTGCCTCCCACCTCTGAAGCTGCAAATGAGCCACTACTCTTTAAGTGGGGCGTAGGAGACAGGCAGGTAGGTATTATAGGGTGGTGGCTGAATAGGGGGACGAATAAGATAGAATTGTTGTGGCCTTTCTAGACCCAGGTGGTGCTGAGCTGGCACATGCTCCTCTCCTGACCAGCAATGAGTGCCAGGAGCTTGGATAAAAAAAACAAAAACAAACCAGTTGACATCGAGTTGATTTTGGCTCATAGCAAAACTGTGTGAGTCAGAGTAGAATACACAGGGTTTTTTGAAGGCAAATCTTTCAGATGTAGATTGCCAGACCTTTCTTCCAAGGTGCTCCTAAGTGAACCTGAACTTCCCAACTTTTGGTTGGCAGGTGAGCATGTTAACTGTTTGCTACACATGGGTACTCAATAATGACTCACAGTGACCCTTTAGAACAGAGTAGAACTGCTCCATAGGGTTTCTGAGATTTATATAAATCTTTACAGGATCAGAAAGCTTCATCTTTCTCCCAGGGAGTGATTGGTAGGTTTGAACCACTGACCTGGTTAGCAGTCCAATGCTTAACCTGCTATAACACCAAGACTCCTTAGAGTCTAGTTGTTGTTGTCAAGTGCTGTCGAGTTGGTTCTGACTTATAGTGACCCAGTATAGTGTTTACCAAGGAGCTGGTAGTAGATTTGAACTACCAACCTTGTGGTTAGCAGTTCAGTGCTTATCATATAGCACCACACCAGGACTCCTAGAGTCTAGATGGTTGTTGTTTGTTGTTGTTAAGTGCTGTTGAGTTGGTTCCAACTCATAGCAATCCTGTATAGTGTTTCCGAGGAGCAGCTGGTGACAAACAGTGCCTTGGCCTGCACAGAGGTGGTGGAAGTGGGCTCTGAGCAGCTGTTAATGAACCTCTCTGGAGTTACCTTGTCTCTGGTCACAGAGAGCTTCTGCACTAGTGCCCTGACAGTAGGCCCCCAGGTGTCCCTGGGGAAAGAAGTCTCAGGTTTAGGGCACAGCCGCACTGAGTCTGTCCTTTTGGATGGTAGCTGTGGCCAGTCTGAGCCATGAACACTTTGTTTCCATTCATCGGCCTTGGGTAGGGCCAAAAGGTTTACATTTTCACACCCAGATTTCTCAGCGCCACGCCTGACTCTGCCCTTGACTTGCCCAGTCAGTTCAGGGCAAGTCCATTTCTCCTGCCTCAATAAATTGACAGTAATATTATGGATCCTCTCTGCCTCTGTTCCAAAATGGACAAAGGGTCTGAGGGAAGTAACACCCCTAGGATTATCTCTGGGACTTCTAGGAGCTGGGCCAGGATTTCTGATTATAGATGTGCATCAGCCATAAGTCTGTGTGTTTGAGCGGCAGGGAGGCTGGGTGAGGAATTCCCAAAAATGGCTGAGACTGAGTTAGGAAGATGCCTCATTTCCAGGAACATGCATAGTTCTGAAAGACTGGAGCACAGGGACTTTTGGAAGACCAGGGCCTGACTTGGGGGTGGGGTCCACCTTCTAAACCAGAAAGATCAAGCCTACATAATGACATCATGGTGAGGAGGGACCTAGTAGAGGGATGCCACAGAAGAGACGACTCTTTGCAGAAGATGCTGACTTATAGGGACCAGGCCACCCATGCTGGAGTAACCTACAATTCTATTTAGCTAGAATGAGTGTGGGTCACACTCACATAGTGGATCAGAATCAATCACTTCAACTCTGAAAACAAAGCCAATAATAATTCATATCAACTGGGAATTATTCCCGTGGGATTAGGTATCCCTTCCTCCAGGTACCAGGCTGACAGCATTGTTATCTGGTTGAGAAAGAGATTTTTGTTCTCGTGTGGTAATCTCATGTGGTAATCTCATGTGTCCTCCTGTGACTCTACCCGGAGGTATTGCAGTTTCGGAGAGGTCTTGCAGGTAACAGTGGCCTCAAAAAGCATTTCAATTTCCAATTTGCCAACAGTTCCTGCTTACCTATTCTGTGCAGGTACCCTGGTTGTTTAGTGCCATCAAGTTGGTTCCAACCCATGGCGACCTGCTTGAACCACTGACCTTGTGGCTCAAATGACTTTACAGTCCAGCACATTAACCCACAACGCCGCACTGGGACTCCACATGCGCCTTTAGGAGCTGAGGAAGATACATGACCTAATAAGAGAGTTGAGGGCCCACGGGGTCACAAGTCACTACATAAGCAGATGGTGAATGTTCTTGATATTCCAGAATACCTCAGAGGGGAGAACTTCCATCTATCCCTAAGAAAGTAGGGTAATGTGTGAGCTGGGACCCAAAAGATGGGGGAAGGAGGAAGTAAGGTATAGGGTGGCAAGTGTGTGTTTGGAGAAGGGAAAACTAGAATTTAGGATTTGAGAGAGGTACTGGTAGGAAGTGAGGCAGGAAAAGTGGGCAGGGCCAGTCTGTGAAAACCTTCCTGTGCTCTGCATTCATCAAATATTTACTGAGCCTTGATTCTGTGCCAGGCACTGTTCTAGGTGCTGGGATTAAGCAGTAGCCAAAACAAAATCCCTGTCTTCATAAAGGGACTATTCAAGTGGGGAAGACAGACAATAGACATTGACGTAGATAAACATGTCAGGCTTTGGGGAAGGAGGATGATGGAAGAGGAATACATGTGGGGAGGAAAACCCTTAATAAGACTGAAGCAAGTGAAGGAGTGGAGCAGCATTCCAGACAGAGGGAATAGTTGGTGTTGTTGTCAAGTGCTGTTGAGTCGACTCTGACTCTGTAGTATCAGCACTGTAGGATCACTGTGAACCACAAGGACAACAGTTCAAACCCACCAGCTATTCCTTGGAAACCCTGTACAGGGTCGCTTTGAGTCAGAACCGACTCGATGGCATTTCACAACTACAACACAGGGTTTCCAAGGAGCAGTTCCCAGTTGTCATGGTTCCTAGTCCAGTGCTACAATGCCACACCAGGAGCAGCTGTAAAGTTTCCATGGTAGGGCCCATGAAAGTGGATTTCTTTTTATTATATTCTTAATTAGAGGAGAAACATAAGCAAGTTCATGTTTTGTTTTTTCAAAAAGTATCTGTGGTGTCAGTTGGTTTGAAAGAGGTTATGAGGGTAAAGCTGGAGTCCGAGAAGCTTATGAATGGGCAAAAGCCATCCATCCATCCATCCATCCATCCATCCATCCATCCATCCATCCATTCATTCATTCATTCATTCATTTCCTTTATCTATTTAACAAATAATTATTGAGCTCTAATCAATCAGTGGGCTGGGGAATGGGTGAGAGAGTGGAGGGCAACTTTGAGGGTCACTATTGTAGCAGAAGACAAAGGAATTTGTAAATAATTAGCTGTCAGGGAAGTGGCCTGGGAGGAGCCACTGGTAATGGCAAAAAGAAATCTTTCTGGGAGGGGCAGAAGGAGAAAAAAATAGGGCAAGTGCTGCCTGGTAGGGACTGTGATTCCTGCTCTCCCAGATGGAGCAGTTACTTGAGGGACAGGCAGGGACACGCAGCCCCTCACTTCTTTGCCCTTCAGACCCCGCCCTCAGCCTACAGCTCCTCTGCCTACTTCCTAGGCATAGGCTCCACAGACAGGCCATTCCCAGTCTCGGCCGTGAGTAAATTAATTTCAGGTAGGTAAGGAGCTATTACTGGCTGGGTGACCTTGGGCAATCACGTATCCTCTCTGAATATCAGCTTAAGAATCTGGAAAATGGGTTGATAACATCTTCATCACTGAGAAGCTGTGAAAATCAAATGTAGTAATGATTGTAGGAAGACTTTCTGATTAAGCGTGTTATTTATGTATCTACTAGGTCTGTGTGTGATGTGTGTGCCTCAATATATACAGGGGCTTGTTATAGCAGCAGTAGGCTCAGGTGCTAAGGTAGTATCATTCCATGCTCACTGTAAGTGAAGCCATGAGTAATGCTGACTCCTTGTTCTTTTTTTCTAGTTGGTTCTGAGGACATGGGGACCACAGTCAATGGAGACATGTTTCAGGTAAGCAAGATGCTGTCTTCCTGGTGGTGGGGACCAACAGCCTGAATCTCCAGGATCTCTTGTTGTTGGTGTAGGGAGGTTTAGGCTCCAGTGATTTTTTTTTTTTTTATTATTATCAATTTCAATCATAGAACAGCATATGATCATTGTAAATTGCTTAAATGGTAATATTCTTTTAGATTTAATACTAACCACAAAATTGTTTTATAAAATCTTTCTACACTGAATTACAACATGATGAGTTACAGCGTTATTAATTAACTGAGTGGAAGTCTTCTTTGGCTTTTCCCCTGTTGCTGCACTGGGTCGAACATAAGGAAAGGGGGTTGACTTGCTTTTTTTCATATAGAGGGAGGGGGATAAAGAATAGGGACTATTGGAGACATAGAGACAGAGACCCCTTGTTGATGTCAGACTTTGTGGCCCACACTGGACTGAAGGAAACACAATCCTGCTCACACCTGCCTCATTGGTGGGAGGACGAATTGACTGGACCGCATGCTCTCCAACAAATGGGAAGACCTTTCCAACTAGAGACTCTAGTTCTTGGAATTTGCCCTGAGGAAGTAATTGGATGAATACACCCGGATTCTTTGTAGGATTATGTATAACCACCAACTAGTTGCCATGGAGTCAATTCTGACTCATGGTGACCCCATGTGTGTTAGAGTAGAACAGTGCTCCAATAGCGCTTTTTCAGAAGTAGCTTGCCAGACCTTTTATCCGAAGCCTCTCTGGGCAGACTCAGACCTCTAACCTTTTGGTTAGCAGCCATGTGTATTAACAGTTTGCACCACCCAGAGACTCCAAGATTATCTATAGTAATCCATAAACTAGAAACAATTTAAGTGTCTAGCATCAGGGGATTGGGACGGTGTCTTAGTTATCTAGTGTTACTGTAACCAGGACGTCCTGGTGTGGCACTAAAAAATAAGCACTGGGCCGCAAGGTTGGTTTGAACAGTAAGGTCAGCAGTTGTAATCCACGAGCTACTCCTTGGGAAACTAAATCAGAACTGACCCGAAGGTATTTAACAACACTACCACAGAAATCCCACAAGTGGCTGGCTTTAGCACACTGAGATGTATTATCTCGCAGGTTAGGAGGCTGGAAGGCTGAATTTAGGGCGCCAGTTCTAGACGAAGGCGTTCTCTCTGTCAGCTCTAGGGGAAGGTCCTTGTCTTCTTTTAACATCTGTGGGCCGGTGTCCCTTGGAGATCTCCATACGTCTTGGCATCAGTCTTCCCCTGGGTCTAGGAGGTTCATGGCACAGGAATTCTGGTGCAGGAATTCAATCCCAGCTCATCTTTCTTGGTGGTATTGAGGTCCTTCTGGTCTCTGCTTGATTGTTTAATCCTTTTTATAAATCAAGAAAGACTGACACAAAATACAACCTAATCCTATAGATTAATCCTAAAGAAGGATTAAATAAATAAACAGTCTAAGATGGTAGATCGGGTAGACACAGAATACTGGACCAAGCAGGCTCAGGGGATGGTGCCAGAACTCTGAACCACATATAAAGGAATATTTAGAAGCTTGGAAGGCTTACAGCTAGGAGAATTTGTAGGAGAATCAAGAAATCCATTGATTTCTAATTCAAGATGCTCGGCTACTCCCGGAGCCTCCATCTTGGGAGAAACCAAGCTGGAGAAGGATCAGAACAGTCACGGACGCCTGACAGAACTTCAGAGATAAAGGTGTGGGCATTCTTATTTTTGGTATCTGTTTATGGGTCTCTTGCTGTCTGTGCGCCTCCATTCTGGTGACTAGAGGGGATGCCTGAGCGAATGGACACCCCAAGCCCTCCCCTGGAGGGTTCTACTACACATGTGCACAGATCTCCTCGAAATTTAAACTGACAATTTCCACTTAAAACCAAACTGCCACCACTTATCTGTCAGTTTGTCGTACTATGGTGGCTTTTGACTTGCTGTGATTCTGGAAGCTATGCCACCAGTATTTTAAATACCCGCAGGGTCACCCATGGGGGACAGGTTTCAGAAGAGCTTCCAGACAAAGAGTGACAAACTACTTCCAAATCTTTAGTCACTGAAAACCTTATGAATAGCAGAGAAACACTGTCAGATATCGTGCCAGAAAATGAGGCCCTCAAGTTGGAAGGCACTCAAAATGCAACTGGGGAAGAGCTGTCTCCTCAAAGTAGAGTTGACCCCGATAATGCGAATGGAGTAAAGCCCATGGGAGAAAAGCCTGTGGGAACTTCATTTTCTGATGGAGCACAACTCAAAATGAAGAGAAACAGCTGTAAATATCCAATGAAAATCGGAACATGGAATGTACAAAGTAGGAATCTGGGAAAATTGCAAGTTGTCAAAAATGAAATGGAAGGCATAAACATCCATATCGTAGCCATTAGTGAGCTGAAATGCACTAGTATTGGCCATTTTCAATCTGATAACCACATGGTTTACAATGCCAGGAATGATAAATTAAAGAGGAATGGTGTTGCATTCATCATCAAAAAGAAAATATCCAAATCAGTCATGAGGTACAACGCTGTCTGTGATAGGATAATATCCATGCGCCTCTAGGGAAGCCCAGTTAATACCACTATTATTGAAATTTACGCACCAAGCACTAAAGTCAGTGAAGATGAAATAGAAGAATTCTACCAACTTCTTCAATCTGAAATTGATCAAA